TGATGGTGATTTGTTGCAGCCTGTAATTTCAGTTACCTTTTAGGTTTCTTTCCAGTAAAGGCACTCTTTGTTTTACACACAGTGACCAACCACAGCTCTGTCAGTTGTATGGGTTAGCAGCCTCTGTCTCAGGGACAGTTGGATGGCAGCTGCTTTTAGTACCAAAGAAAACCATTCTTTGCCCAATCGCAATTCAGAACATTAAGGTCCTTCAGTGTTCAGCTGGTGCAAGGACACCAAATCGACCCCAAATTGGCGAGCGTGCATTTGTGTCCTGCTCAAAAGGATGAGGCTTTGGAGCCCGACCTTGAGAGCAAATCGCGCTCCCAGGCAGCTGAAGAGCAGCAGCGTTACCTGGGAGCGGATGGGTCTCGAGTTCACGTCACACAAACCTTGGTTTCCAAATTCTTAGAGGATCACATTCGTGACAAGTTCCGAGTCCTGATTTTCTCCTGAAGAAACCCTTCACGTGCAGAAGGCTCCTGGGAAGTAACAAACAAATCCCAAAGAGTGCATGGAGGAAAAGTCTTTTCCCTTTAAATCTTCTTTACTGTGCCCTGCTGTGCTTTTTTTGACAAACGAGGTAACTGAAATCACAAAGCTCACTCTGCTTTTCCCAAGATCTGTTTAATCAAGAGTCCTTCTTAATACTCGGGTCTTCTTCCCCTGCCTGTCTTCACCTACAGTTTTGCAATGTCACCATCTAAGATGCCCTTCTAGATCACTGACGTCTTCAGGTGTTCCTGGCAAGGCTGGCAGCAACCTTTTGTTATACTTAATTGTAGGAGGAACAGTCACGGGGACAGGAGCTTATGTAAGATGCCTAAATCTGTGTGTTTGGATTGGGCGAGGGGGTGGAGGGAGGGCACCTCTCTGTGTGTGGTACCACCTTAGACGTTTGCTTCCACTAAAGGGTTAATTTCAAGGGATGGTGTCAGATAATTGGAGTTTACCAAATAATTGAAGCTTACGAATTTGATCACTTTCCAACAGTGTAGAGTGGGGGAAAAACCAACCAAAGCAGCAACCAGCAGGTTTAGCACTTGGACACAGGTGGCTTTTCTGAGCAAGTGGGGTAGACAAAAGCCTGTCGGGGGGGTAGAAGCAGAACGGTGCCTGGATGCTGTAGGATATACCAGGTAAATGTGTCCTCCTCTGTCTGCAGGTGTACAAAACATTGAAGGAAAACAAGGAGCGATTCACCAGCCGCGTCACGACAATAACGACGCGATCTCAAGACAGCGAATCGTCGCCTTCCGGTGGGTGCTCGCCTGCTCCTTCAGTTCTGGGTCTGTTCTTGATAAGCCGAGACCTCTAAAGCAAATGGGACAGAGCCCTGCTGAAAACACAGGCTAGCATAAGCTGTGCCTTCGTGGCACTGCCGTGTCTAAAAGAGAAGGCTCAGTTTTACAGATAATGATGAGGATAAAGTGGGTTTTCTCTCGGGGCTCCTTTCTACCGTTTATGCCTCCTGTGATAAAAGGAGGAGAGAGCGATTTGTGAGATCTCAAACTGCAGTGTCTGAACTACTGAGGCAAGGAGTGGGTCACAGAAGATAGGGTGTGCTGTGTCACTTGACTGGGAAACCCAGAGCAAGATCACCCTGCAGACAGGACAGAAAGCGGCGTGCTTTGTTTTGGGGGAGAGGAAAAGACACATCTGTCAGGGCTGGGGACAGAGAGCCTGAGCGCTGCAGCAGGGGTCGTGGGGAGCTGCGTTCCTGGAGCACCTGGAAATCCTGTGGTGTCCTTGAGCCAGCCCTGAACTGCAGCTTCCCAACCACAGCGTCCTCGATAGCCCGTGCTTCACTGAATTCACTCGGTGTCTTCTCTTTCAGATACAGATGCTGCTGCTCAGGGCACAGCAGGTGAGTCCTGATGGTAATATTTAACTGACAGGTTTGTTCCTGCGAGCGGTTTAACTGCATGTTGCTTAGAAACGGGACCTGCACGTGGGAGGAAATGCATTCTGGTGGGAAGTCAAAAGTTGGTCTCCTTTCAGAACACAAGTGCAGAAGAATATGCCTCAGCATTTCAGGGAACTTCACTTTCCTATAGACTGTTCACTGCATGGCCAGCGTGCGTTTTGGTCTTGCTCACAAGTTGATTTGTGTTCTTAAGGAAGGCGCACAGCCAGATCACACACTGTGCAGCCCCTGTCTCTGCCTCGGTGTCGTTTAAATCAGAAAACGACTTTCAGAATTATTTGGAAAGTACGGACTGACATCTGCTGGTGTTTTGGCTGGTCGGTTGGCTGTGTCCCTTGTCTTAAACCAGAGAGCAGTAGATCTGTGCTAGAGGAGCTGAAGCCGTGTGATCAAGGCTGTGCTGTGGCCTGTTCCAAAAGTCTGCAGTTGCCGTTGAGCTCAGCTGTGCAGGTCTGGCTTAGGAAACAGTCTGCTGAAATCTGACAAATTGGTCTATGCAGGGAGCCAGCTTTGCGTGAAGCAGCACCGCGGCTCTTGGGAAGTTTATTGGGGTGGAAGGGAAGGGGAATGGAGGTGTTGAAGGGCAGTTTGCCCGAGGAAGTCCATATGTGAAAGGCATCTGGTGACGTCTGGCTCTGGTCTTTGGGGCCGTTTTCCCTGCTGTATTTGCAGTAACTGTCCACTCTGTCACCTGCAGCTCCTGGAGCTCGCCCTGCGGTCCCCTCCCATTTTGATCGGTGGAGGAACGGCTGCGTTTGCTGCTGCCAGATCCATTCGGGCTCGTGACCCCGGTGCCCGGGTAAGAGCTGCCCTGGTCTGGAGGGCTGAACGCTGACCGTGCTTCAGAGCCTCTGCAGTTGCTCTGGCATTTGCCTGGCATCGGTACAGCTGCTGTGTTCAATGACCACTTGAAGGTGCTGATCGTGTCTGAAGATCCTGCCCTGCCCTACATGCGTCCCCCTCTGTCCAAAGAACTGTGGTTTTCAGATGATCCGAATGTGACGGAGACTCTGCGATTCAAGCAGTGGAACGGCAAGGAGAGGAGGTACGTGTCGCTGGCGGGTAGCAAGGACGAAGGAGAGTGGTTAGTGAAAAGCTGAGGATGTTCAAACTGTTCCTGTGAGAGGCCACCGCAGAGCTCTGAAGGGCCCCTGAGTGCTGTGTGGGCAAATCACTGGGAGGTTTCAGTGTCTGTGTATTTGGAAGAGCCCTGGGGTGTGTGTGTCTGTGTGCTGTGCTGTGTCACAGAGCGCTGCACGCTGTGTGCGGAGCTTGTGTGGGGTTTGCACTGGAGCAGCCGTCTGCCTGCCCTGTGGGGTCCAGGAGGCTCTGTGATGTGGGCTGCAGGCCCGTGGGCTCCCAGAGCTGCTGGGGTGTCCCAAACCGGTCACTCAGCGCCAAGGAGCAGACCAAAAGCTGCAGCAGTGCTGGGGCTGTCCAGAGGAGCGCTGCTTCACGTGTGGAGTTAGCTCGGTGCTCAGTACCTCCTGAATCTTGCTGTGGTTCCTGTAGACATACACCACCACTGCAGAAATCCTGTGCAGTCAGTTGATAGCAAAGGTGAGGGTGTAGCTGCACAGTTTAGAGCAGAGCTCCAAGGAGCCTGGCTCACATTTGACTTTTGTTATAGAGCCTTACTGATCTGAACCCTTGAATGTCAACAGTGTGAAGACCTTAATCCTTAAAAATACCTAAATGAGACGTCTGGAGCTTGCTATGGATGCAGGGAGTTGTCTTTGTGTCGCTGGTAATTGCTGACTAGTTGGTGTCACAGAGAAAGCTGAACGCGCTTGATAACGGAGCTTTTTTCAGTATCTATTTCCAGCCGCCGTCGTTCTATGTGCCCGTTCGGGACCTGCCTTTTGTAGAGAACGGTGGAGTAGCAGTCCTGTGTGGCAAGAAGGTGGGTACAGCACGAGAACGTCACTGCCAGGTTTGCTTCTGTAACCAGTAGTGTGCAGGTCAACTCCAGCGGCCGGCAGTGCCGGGAGGCCTGACCTCTCCTGCCTGTTGAATTTTGCAGGTTGTGCATATGGATGTTAGAGGCAACACGGTGAAGCTCAGTGACGGCACCCAGATATCCTACGACAAGTGTCTCATTGCCACTGGTGAGCTGTGGGGGTTTTTCTCTTTGTTCTTTGCTTTGTGCCAGACTTTTCAGTTCAGTGGCGTTTATCTGACAAGGGAGCCTGTGCGGGAGGTGTGAAACGCTTGGTGGAGCAGCCCCATGAGGGGCAGTGGTGCAGACCACCGTGCTGCTGGGTTTTTCACCTGCCTCGCGTCACACAGCTTCTCTGGGGCAGTCACAGCTTTCCCCTGTGGAAAATCAGCGGGGAAGGGGAAAAGGTGACGTGGCCGTGGTGTCACTCGTCTGTCTCTCTCTCTCCCCTTGTCCCCAGGTGGTTCCCCAAGGAACCTTCCCGCCATTGAAAGGGCAGGAAAAGATGTACAGCAAAGGCTGACACTGTTCCGAAAGGTAAACGGGTGCTGCTCGTCCTCGGTGGGGCTGAAAAACCCAGAGCCACCACCACTGTTTTTAGCTTTGGGTCCAGGACAGCCTTGGCAGCTGCTTCCCTCAGCTGGCCACCAGGAGTGCATTCGCTGTTCCTCTTCCCCAGCAGGGAAATGGGGTCGAGTCTGCTGGAGCACTCGGTCTGCTTGCCTCGGGCCTGGCAGCTCTAATGGCGTGTGATTGCTTAAAACCGTGTGTGCCATGGCTCTGCCGCACACGGCCAGGGCTTGACCATTGCAGGCAGGAGAGACACTGCTCTCGTGCTCCCAAATCTCAGCTGAGTGTGAAGCTGAGCAGGGAAAAGCTTGCACAAGCATTAGGAAGCCAGAGATGCTTTGTTTTTCTGCACAGCAAATAAACAGGAGGAAGGAGAAACGCGTTTCCCTTTCTAAGCTGGCAAGAGAGTTGCCCTTATTTCAAAGGGGGGAAATGGAGAAAAATACCTTCTGCTGCCCCTCCTGTTTGAGGATCATTGAAAAGTGAATACATCTTCTTTCAGATTGAGGATTTCAGGAATCTGGAGAAGATTTCAAGAGAAGTCAAGTCCATCACCGTTATCGGTGGTGGTTTTCTCGGCAGCGAGCTGGCCTGTGCTCTGGGAAGAAGAGGTGAGTGGCTGGCACCCTGACAGAAGTGGGCACTGAATGGAAGCAGCCTGCGCTTAGAAGCTTGTTCTTCATTCCCCGACTCCTGAGTCTTTGCACAGGCTTGTGGTCTGCTTGCAGTACCCTTGATGCACGCGTGCTCTGTTGGCTCCGCGGCCGGCCCTGCCTTTCCATTTGCGGCATTAGCTGCGAAGCAGCCCCTGACCACAAAGGGGCTTTTGTAAGTTGGGCTCCCTGGCAGCTCTGCAGGCCACTGCGCGTTGCAAAGTCATTGTACCCTGTAAAACGTTGTGTTTGCTCTCTGAGTGCTAAAAGCCACCCTAAAAATATTATTCCAAAGAGGCTGTGGACAACTGGATTCTTCCTGTCAAGTGCGTGCAGCTTTTTGAGTAGTGCCTTGATGGCAGTTTTTCTCGTGAGGGGTGTTTTCTCCAAAACACTGAGCTTCTTAATTGGAAACCTGCTGCCAGTGAAACACTGGGCAGTCACCTTGTGACTCCTGTGGAAAATCTGGGAGCCAGAACTCCCAGTTTTGGCAAGTTTTGGCAAGCTCCTTCTGTAAACTAAAGCACATGTGTGTGTCCTGAAGCCTGTGCTGCCGCTCTCGATCCAGGGTTGTAAGAAACCGGCTCTTTGCTTTCCTTCCAGCGCGAACCAGAGGCCTGGAGGTGATTCAGCTGTTTCCAGAGAACGGCAACATGGGCAAAGTCTTGCCCGAGTACCTGAGCAACTGGACCACGGAGAAAGTCAGGAGAGGTGAAGCTGCACTTGGCGCTCCTCGGCGCGCGGCAGAGCGGTGGCGTTTAGGCCAGCGGCTGCTGTGTGGCCCTGAGCAAGCAGTTACGGTTCCTGTCTTTGTTTCCAGAGGGAGTTAACGTCATGCCTAACGCCGTGGTCAAGTCTGTCTCTGTCTGTGGCAATCGGCTGCTGATTAAACTGAAAGATGGCCGGAAGGTAAATAGAAAAGCAGGGAGAGGGTAAAGTTTGGGTAAAGGGTAAAGGGGCATTGTGGGGATTAAGATGATAATTCTGAATTCCCCAACAGGTGGAGACTGATCACATTGTGGCTGCGGTGGGGCTGGAGCCCAACGTGGAGTTGGCCAAGTCGGCTGGGCTGGAGGTGGACTCTGACTTTGGGGGGTTCAGGGTGAACGCGGAGCTGCAGGCGCGCTCCAACATCTGGGTGGTGAGTACGCGCCGGGGGTTCTCCGTCTGCTGCCTGTGCAGTGGGAACACAGAGTTACGGGGGCTGGTGTTCCTCGGTGATGTGAATGGGGCAGAAAATAGCAAGTCACGAGAGCAGTCGTAGTGCCGATCCTGCCGGGGAGCCTGTGCCTGCAGCACAGCACACGTGGTTGCTGCGGTAACGCCTGGGCGAGAGCTGGGATACTTCTGTGTGTAAGAGGAGTTGGGGTAACCTAAAGATAGCCCGGATTACTCTGCTGCGCAGGAGTCCCCTTGGTGGGAGTTGAGGCTTTGATTCCTCTGGAAAACCCTCCCTGACACTGTCTTATTTTTCTGAGCATTGGTGAAAAATGCTGAGAAGCTGGGCCTTGTGTAGCCCAGGGAGTGGGAAACGGTGGTGGTGATGCTTGGGGTTTGTCAGGAAAGCCCTGTTCACAATTCCACTTTGTTCTCTTCCCGGTGCCTTTTTTGTTTGTGCGTTAATTCGGGCGTTTGGTGTCGCTGTTTGGTCCTCACTGAGTGCCTCTTGTTAAGGCAGGGGATGCTGCCTGCTTCTACGATATCAAACTGGGCCGGAGGCGCGTGGAGCACCACGACCACGCCGTGGTCAGCGGGAGGCTGGCCGGAGAAAACATGACGGGAGCGGCGAAGCCCTACTGGCACCAGTCCATGTTCTGGTAACGCTCACTTCTCCTTTCGGTGTTTCTCATTTGGCCCCGTTGCAGGAGCTGTGACAAGATAACACCTGGTAAAGGTTTCTGTTCCCTGGGTGCCGTGAATCCACTGCAGCACAAACCTCGTGCAGCTGCTTGCTCCCAGCAGCTCAGGGACTGGGAGGGCGTTTGAGCACTCGCTGCTCTGCCCCAACCTCTGAAAGGGTTTTCCTTCCTGATCCCACCCTGAGCAAGTCCCGTTCAGCAAAGCAAGCAGTGCTAAAGAGCAGCCCCTTTCCTCAGGGCAGGCTGGTTTACACATGGATCTCAGCAGCGGCGTTTCTTACAATGACCTGAGGTTCCCCAGCACCATCTGTGGTTTCAGTTGTGTTGCACCGTTGCTGATTAACTGAGCTGATGCTCAGTAGCAGTGCATCACTAGCAGTGCCTAAATTTGGGTCAAGCGCTCTGAGGAGGACCCGGAGGAACCCTTGCTCCTGCGCCAGCTCTGCCCCAGCTCGCACTGGTGCTAAACCAGCGACACAGAGGCTTTTCCAAGCGCCTGCGAGCTGCGTGGCGATGCTCACGTCCGAGTGCTGGGGGCAGACGTGTGGCGCTCTGAAGGGCCGAGGTGTGCAGCCCCGTTCACGGGAGCAGGCCTTGAGTCTTTGGGGTTTTTGTTATTGAGCTGGTTTCTCCTGAAGCCGATGGCCTGAGGCTGGCTGTGTGGTGACTCCTCGTTCCACCCTAACGCCTGCACTAGAAACCCGTGTGTTGGTCAGCGTGGTCCCTATTGCACTGCACCGTCATTACGGATTTGGGCTGGGTGGAATCGCCTTGTGTTTGTCTCCTAATGCTGCAAGTGACTTGTTCTGTTTGATCCTAGGAGCGATCTGGGTCCTAACGTGGGGTACGAGGCCATTGGCCTTGTCGACAGCAGTTTGCCGACAGTGGGGGTCTTTGCTAAAGCAACAGCAAAGGACACGCCGAGAAGCGCGACGGAGCAGTCAGGTAGGGCTGTGTCTGTGCTCAGGAGCCGCCTGCTGCAGGAGGGGTTTTGTAGTGGCTCTGGCTCTGTAGTGCGCTAGGAGGCATCGATCTGTTTGCTGCTTTTCCTAGACCGAGCTTTAAAGACTGGTTTTGATATTAAAATGTGATTAAAACATGTCTTCTCGGAGGAGTGCGTGCTATCATGTCACCCGTTTACCAAAATTGAAACTTTTTTTCACAGTGAAGCTTAAAATAGCAGTAAAACGATTGGTTAATGCACACAGGAGATGGTGCTGATCTCAGCACGTTTATTTTGTATGTGCTGGGGACTGACCTGCTGGGGAGCAGCACA